AAAAAAAAAAACTGAGTGAACAAATATATTAAAGTGTGTGAAACAAAATATATAATCCACGTGCTCCTAAACTAAGAACTCCAAAGACAAGGCAAAAGAACACAGCACAGCAAGGGCGTGATAGAGAAAAAAATGTGAATACTACTACTACAAGGTAATGGATGGTTGGATTGTGCATTTCAAGCACCATAATAATTATTTTTTTATGAAATCCTTCAGTCTCATTTGCTGCCAAGGCTCGGGAACTGGCCAGGATCTTCAATTGAAAGCCCACTGGCATTGCTCGTTTCGCCGCCACCACCACTACCACCATAACCACCTCTGAACCCACGGCCACGGCCTCGGCCACGACCACCGGCATTGATGTACCTTTCACCCTCAGCAGGCTTCAAGAACTCGTTAATGCTCACAGACTGATCCAAAGAAAGTAATAAATCAATAATAAAATAAAATAAAAGAAGGGCACACATATTTTGAAATGTGTGTGTTCTGCAATGGCTGCTTTAATTAATTTAGATTTAGATTGCACAGTGGAGATGTGATTAGAAGCCAAAACATCCACTGTGCTTAGAAGCCAAAACAGTATTTAGACTGTTGGTCATAAATTTTCACAAGCACAAATAAATATGCAACATCACCATATGTATGATGTTACATGAGTAAAATTACCTTTTTGGCTCTCTCTTCCCTCTCGGTCAACTCTTTCTTTTTATCCTTGTTATCAGAGCCCTGCAGAGTTTTTACTTATTTAATGCAGAATAATCCAAAACATGATCCTTCCCCCCTTTGAAACAGTCGAAGATAAACTAGAAGCTAATATCCTAAAAATGGGTTTGTTTTACCAATTTGATGAATATGTCATCATTTGTCTTCTTATTTGAAAGTGGTTGCATTGACTCGAACTCTTTCGCATCAACTTTCCTAGACTCGGTTTTAAGAGCCTGAAGAGCCTTCCTTTTCTCCTCCAGAACCTTCTCATACTCTTCAAGTGTCATCTCCTACAGTTTGAGGCAGCAAGATGTGAATAGTTACAATCACATAGAAATCAATGGCTCAAAGGAAAAAACTTCCATAAAGATAAGATCATGCATAATTATCGTCCTATAAATTTTAGTCATGTTAGAATGCCCCTGAACTTCACAACCATATAGAGGACAGTCTACAAGATGAAGTCGTGACAACAAAGTAAAAAGGGAGTTACAATAATTAAATCATTGACAATAGATGCATTACACAAGCACCACTGACCACAAAATTACAGTATGAATTATTAGATTTTCAGAATGAAAATGTATCTTCAATCTCAATATCAAGACAGTTTTGATCAGAATACTTTGAAATCAATAAAATCAACATATCTTCACCTTATCCTCTGGTTTCTCCTCTACAACCTCATTTTTGGCAACTTCCTGATCTCCATCAGCTACAACATTCTCCTTCCCAGATGGATTCTCAGAGATCAGACTTTTCACAGCTTCAGAACCATCCTCAGCCACTCTATTGGAGAAAAAAAGTAGATTAACAGAAAACAGACGTACATCACTAGCATTCAAACAGTACATACGTCAACTTGTAAGAAACACTCACTGAGCCAATTCATCAGTCTCCTTTCCCCAGTTCCCTCGACCAGCTCCTTCTTTTTTAAAGTCATTTCTGTTCAAGGGTCAAATATAATTAGGATACATGGCAGGATTGAAACAGAAAAAGGAAAGCAGAAAGTGAACAGAACAAAAAGGATCACTGAGGGGAGAGGGATTGTCACACGACATAAATAACATGTGCGAGTGTTCCTGTGTGTGTGTGTGTGTGTGTGTGTGAGAGAGAGAGAGAGGAGACCCTTGGCCAGTGCCACTATGTCGGTCGTATTGTCTCCGACGTTCACGGTCTCCCTCTCTGGCTTCTCCATTGCTTAAACCACCTCCGCGACCACCGCGGAAAGGCTCACGATGTCCACCATAACCACCACGCCTTTCATAAGGTCTTCCACCATCAGCCTCAGGTGCACCTTGAGCATAAGAAAATTCCCTGTTTCCATATGAATTTTCCTTGTAGCTCGAGTCCCTGTAGGACCCATCACCACCGCCACGGCTTCGGCCATAACCACGCCCTCCACCACGACCGCCTCGTGCAGATTCAGACTTAGCCTCTTTGACTACTCAGAATAAAATGGCAAAGCAGAGTGTAAAAATGTGCTGGATAACACACACAATTATGGTTTAAACTTAACATATGTTCCACCATAAAGCATTTGTAAAAAACTAAACATACTGAAACAGCCAAATGGAAAAATATAATATGATAAATATTCCATGATAAAAGTAATGGAAAGATGAAAATGTTACAACAACCACTCTTAAATCAGAATTAAGAAACAAAGATTTATATGCCACACAGATACATGAAAGCTCTCGAGACAAATACTCACCAGCATTGGTCTTTAAAATCCACTGGCACACATTCAAATTCTACTTACTCTCTTAGTCTCTCCTAAATAAGCCAATTCATGAAGAAAAAATAACTAATCACTGGAATTTATATTATATCTAGGGCATCAATTAACTTCTTATATTTTCTTTCAATAACTATGGTGCTGCAAACCATAAAAATTGAGAACCACTACCGTAGTTTGCCGCAGGCCTCAAATCCCAGATAAATGAGCATTCATATTTAACACTAAAAATTCGAAGCCATAAAATGGATAAACAACACATAATAGTTAAAAAATCCAGATTGAGCATATTATACGAGCCAATTAAGCTAACAACACACCATATCAATCGCAATTAAGCTCACGCATCAAAATTAATAAGTTCACACATAAATTCCCCCATCAATTTCAACTATTAGAAAATAGAGTCCCTCATCACATATAATAAACAGAGATATTAACTAAAAACAACATACATACATCTCGCTTGAGTAAATCAATAAGAAATAAAATGAACAGAATAAATAAATTCCAAAAAAAAAAAAAAAAAATCTTCAACAAGCCTCCGCTAAGAGATGAAGAAGTTACCAGCCTGAATCGGGGAAGGAGGCTTTGTGGGGAGCTTAGCCTGAGTGGCCTTAGCTCCCCCAGACGCCACCTTAGACGACGGAGCCGCCGATTTCTTCGGCTCGGCCTTCATCTGCTGAGCTGAAATCAGCAGCGTCGGCTCCTCCGCATCATCATCACCGAGCAAATCGAACGGATTAGCAGTCGCCATTTCTCCCACACAAAGGTGCACCGGCAATAAACCCCCTCGCAATCAGATAACTCGCGCGTAAAAACCCTATTCAAGCATTGTGTCCATAGCTGTAGTGAATAGTCAGCAGCAGATCTAAAATGATTAAAAGAAGGAAAGCAGTGAGAGCAGGGAATACTATCAGTAGCTCGAGTGAGAAATAAAACCCTAGCCGCAATAGAGTATAATCTATACTAGTACATATCTCCCGTGTAATACACAGGTGCTTACTAATTTCTTTCTTAAAATCTAAAATTAATGAGAAAAAATAGTTGAAAATTTAAATACCTTTTATAGAAATATATATATTATTATATATTTAGAATGACATTTTTTATTTGTGCGACTTACTTGTGTTATATTATAATAATTTTTTTAACTTACAATATATAACTACATTAAACATAAATATATCAATTGAAAAATAATTTTATTTTTCTAATGAACAATAAATATAGTTATCTTTTATTATTATAAATATAAATATAATTTATTTATTTCAATATATACAATATGGATATCAATCGAAGATCATCAAAAGATGATTAATTTGATATATTATATATGAAAAACCGATAAGAAATACAAAAGTTATCAACTTTTAAAATACATTTACAATTTAATAGCTAATTGAAGGAAACAAATCAAAAGTCGGGGATATATTAGTCACTTAGTGCCTCTTTTTTTTTTTCTCGAAACGACAGATGCAACTATATTAAACTCAAAATGGCGAACAAAGTTCGAATTACAACACAACAATCCGAAAACTAAAAATGAGAGACACGCCATGAGCGGTCTAGAGCCTCAACACAAAAGAAAAGCTAACAACAAAGCCAAACCAACAACAACAAGCAACACTAATACAAAAGCACCTGCTACTGCTCAAAGAGCCTAGCAAGGGAAAACTAAAAAGGAAGACAACCAAAACAAAATAACAGAAAAGGAAAAGAGCTAAACTGCAAAGGGAGAAGCAGCTGAAGAGAACTCCATCCAATCATTGAGGGCCAATTTGACTAAGATGGGCTCTGGAATGAGAGTTTTTTGGAAAAGCCACAAGAATCTGGATTTCCAAAGCCACCAAAGCATGTATGTGGTGAGTTGGATTCTAGCTTCGGCAACTTCAGATTTATCCAGTGAGCAAATGTGATACCACCATGTCTTGAAAGAGTCAGTGCAGCATAAAAGACATCCCATTGGAGAGGACTAAGCTTCCAGCAATTGATGGATCTGCTACAAGTAAATAACATGTGCTCTAAGGATTCAGCAACTTCACCACAAATAGAACAAGTGGTGTCCAAGTCAATGCCTCTCTTGTTCAGTTTAGTAGCTACAGGCAGAGATCCAGAGATGCATTTCCAGATAAAATGCTTGACCTTGCCTGCAATTTTCAATTTCCAATGTCTAAATGAGATGGAATTCTTGGTAATAGCAGAAGAGCTGCATTTTGGGATGTCCAAACTTTGGATCTTGAGAGACATGAGGTGTGAGTAAGTCTGGGAAACAGAAAAGCAACCCTTTGTATTCAAGCCCCAATACAATCTATCATCTCTGCTAGGGGAAAGAGAGGATATATTCAGGATTGCATTGCTATCAACTTCCTCAAAAACTTGCCAAACCAACCAGTCATTCCAGTGAGTGCCTTCATCATTCAGTAAACCTTTAACCCAGATCAAATGATCTCTAGCAATAGGAATGAGAGAGGGGTTGGGTCTACTATGATTAGGAATCCAGTTCAGATCAGAAATTCTGGTGTTCATGCCATTTCTGATTTCAATTTTTAACCATTTAGCAAAAAAAGGTATGTTGTACATCCAACAATTCCACATCCATGATCCACTGGGATTTCTAGAGGCATTAACCAGAGTAGAGTTAGGGTAGTACCTGTCCTTGAGGATTCTACTGACTAGAAGCTCTGGATTTGAAGCAATCCTCCACAGTTGTTTACAGATCATTGCTTTATTGAACAACTGGAGGTCAAGGAAAGACAGACCACCATTTTCTTTAGGGAGGGAGAGGTAATTCCAATTTCTCCAATGGATTCCTTTAGCCTGATCAGTTCCAGATTTCCACCAAAACTTTGCACATAAACTTGTAATTTCAGAGCAGATTGACACTGGCAGGGTGAAACAAGCCATTGTGTAGACTGGAAGAGCTTGGATAATAGCTTTGAGAAGGACTTCCTTGCCAGTTGGGCTAAGAAACTGAGATTTCCAAGAGGTAAGCTTAGCTCTGACTGAGTTCACTAAGTAAGCAAAAACTTCCTTTTTAGACCTGCCAATCCCCAGTGGCAATCCCAAGTATTTAGTTGACCTGTGAGAAGCAATATTGTTCAAGGAGCTGCAGATTGATCTTTGAAGATGGAGGGGTGTATTTCTACTGAAAGAAAAACAGCAGATTTTTGGAGATTAATTGCTTGACCAGAGAAAAGTTTGTATTGCTCCAAAATGTTCATAAGAAACCCAGCTTGGTCTACCCCAGCTTTAAGGAAAAACAAAGAGTCATCTGCAAAGAGAATATGAGACAGCACAGGCCCTCTATGTAAAATTACAAGGAATTAAAGGGTTATATTAGTACAAGTAATATTAAAATACCTAAGTTAGCTAAATAATATTTATGGAATGTCTGAACCTGGATTATTAATTATTAATATATCAATATTATTTGTCCAAACCTAATTACGAAGCATGATTCTTCACCAGGATTCCAAAGCACCAGAAGCAGCCACGTAGGCTCAGCGCATTCGGGAATTATATATAGGGAGGATATCATGTATAAACAGATTTATCATTATTAAAAAATGGCAGGTCAACCTTGAGCAAATTTTAATTAACATTAATTACTTACTATTTTTAGTATTTTTTTTTATTTTTTATTTTCCAAAAAACTGGCAGTGTTGCCTTTAAATTATGGATTTTGCTACATTTTTTATTTGAGGTCATTTGAATGAAGTTTAAGATAAGATGCATGATTTGCGGGTATGTTTCTGTATTTATTTATATAATGTTTGTTTTTATTCAATTCATGATTATCTCTTCTAAAAATTATGATTATCTCTTCTAAATTATAATTACTTTTTGAAAAGTAACTAGTACATACCCCGTGCGATGCACGAGACAAAGATATTAAATGAGTTATTTTCACAGTCTTGTACGTTTAAGTCTAAAAAGTAATAATGTTATCTATTTTCTACCTCTTTTAATCAACGTTAAGTCTATAATTTAAGCCGCCCTCTGGCAAATATATATGGAGTTATGTGTTCATCCTCATAAGTTACAAACATTATGAATAACATTACAAATTATTCATTCAAACTTTTATTCATTGCAAATATATTAAAATAGTTTATATAACAGTTAATACCACTTTCAATATATTTGTAAATAAAAAGTACATAAAATTTTTGGTGTGTTCAAATTTAAATAATTTTTTATGGGCTCAATTTTAAATCATCCAGACATTTGGTCAAACGCATAGGTGTGTTCAAATCTAAATCATTGGCATTTTGGTCGGTTGAAATTTAAATCATCTACCATAGTACTGTGATGTGTATTATATATATATATATACAATTTTTCAACAAATAACATGTGCTTTATAAATATAATAATAATAATTTCACAAGATTTTAAACATAAAATTTGGAATCACAATAGAAAAATCATGGTAAGTTGTATTGAAAATGTGTTATGAGATAAAACAATTAACTAAAATAATTAAATAAAATACTTGATGGAAATAAAATGCATTAATTACCTTTGACTTTTCTTACTACTAATTCTAGTAAATAGAATGTCTTTTTATATAAGTATAGATTCTTATATCCAGTAATGTGAACAGACTAGCTAGATACATTAGTTAGTTGTTAATTCCTCAAATATTATAAATTTGTTATTGTTGTAAATTGGAGTCCTCAATATTCACCAAGCATCCATCAATCAACCAAACATAATATGTGCAGTAAAGAGAACAAGAAAAAGAGCAGAAAAGTATCTCTCTTATTCATCGGTATTCACTCTTTTATAGAGTTTACAAAGGGAGAAACCCTAAAACCTAATCCTACTAACTAATGGACTTCAAGCCCAATTATATATTAGTAATGTCCATATTCATGTATTTATAACACTCCCCCTTGGACATTACTACATGCCTCATTAAAAACCTTGCTAATAAAAACCCGACAGGGAAAAAGATTAGTCAAGGGAAAAAGAGTACATGGTTTATAAAAATTTATGTGTTTTACTAGCTGCCTCGTTAAAAACCTTTAACTAATAAACCCATTGGGAAAAAGTTAGTTAAATAAAAAAGAGTGCAGCATTTGGTCTTCAGGACCTAATCTTCGGGATTATATTGAGTTTTTCCCTCCCCCTGAAGACAACAGTCTTCCCAGTTTACGCATACCAATACCATAAATGTATTTTTCAAAAGTAGATGTAGGAAGGGATTTGGTGAATAGGTCTGCCAAGTTCTCGCTAGACCTCACTTTTTGTACAATAAGTTCACCGCTCTTCTGGAGCTCGTGTGGGTAAAAGAATTTTGGAGCAATATGTTTTGTCATGCTTCATTTGACATACCCACTACTCATTTGTAAAACACAAGCTGCATTGTCCTCATAAAGGACAATGGGGGTATATCATTTGTAATTCCACATGATGCACGAATATGTTGGATTAAAGATCTTAACCAGACACATTCGCGTGAAGTCTTGTATAAAGCAATTATTTCTGAATGGTTTGAAGATGTAGTAACCATGGACTGCTTGACCGACTTTCAAGAGATTGCAATACCACCACAAAGAAAAACATAACCAGTCTGTGATCTAGCATTATGGGGATCAGACATATAACCAGCATCCGAATAGCCCACTAATGTCATATCTTGATTTTTCTTATAAAGGAAACCAAGATCTTGTGAACCTTGAAGATACCTAAAAATATGTTTAATACCATTCCAGTGTCTCCTCGTAGGAGAAGCACTAAACCTTG